AAAAAAAAAAAAAAAAAAAAAAAGCCGGGTGTGGTGGTGGGCACCTGTAATCCCAGCTACTTGGGAGGCTGAGCATCAACTTCAACGTTGCTTTTCTCAAACAGTAACTCTCTAAAGGGAAGCACTTTCTCTTCTTTCACACAACAGAAAGTGTTTCCCTCAAGGGGGCTACAGCAAGACCTTCTTGCTCAAGCACCATGGATTTTTTTTTGCTGGAATTATCCTTGACCAGGTTAAACTGGACACATTGCATTCCAGCCTGGGCGACAGGGTGAGACTCCATCTCCAAATAAATAGAGGACACCTTGAGCCCGAGGGATCTAGGTTGGAAGTGCCACCACACTCCAGGCTGGGCAAAAGAGAGCCTGTCTTGGCAAAAAACAAAACCAAAACAGAACCCCACCATCAGACAAGTCTGATTATAAGCTTGCCCTGCAAATGTATTACCAAGATCAGCATCAACTTCAACGTTGCTTTTCTCAAACCGTAAACCTCTAAAGGGGAGCGCCTTCTTTTCTTTCAGACAACAAAAAGCGCTCCCCTTTGGAGGGTCACAGCATGAAATCTTTTTGCTCCAGCACTCTGGATTTTTTGTTGGAATTATCTTTGTCTCCAAAAAGAAAAAGCAATGCCTACTAGACATACCTTGCTTTTAACCAAGAGAATTGGGCTGGATTTCTAGAGACCAGCAATGGATTTTGAACCATGTGTTCACTTGAGTTCCAGTACAGGAATACACGGTCCCGATGGGAGCATCCAAAATGGATTCTAAGTTAGCTGGGTATGGTGGCACACATCTGTAATCCTAGCTACTCAGGCAGCTGAGGCAGGAGAACTGCTTGAACCTGGGAGGCAGAGGTTGCAGTAAGCAGAGACTGTGCCACTGCACTCCAGCCTGGGTGAGACAATGAGACCCTGTCCCAATCAATCAATAAGAAATAGAAAAATAATTCAACAATTACCGGGGCATGGTGGCTCATTCTTCTAATCCCAGCTGCTTGGCAGGTTGCGTGAGGAGAATGGCTTGAACCCGGAAGGCACAGGGTACACTGAGGAGAGTTTCTGCCACTGCACTCCAGTCTAGGTCACAGAGTGAGACTGTCCCAAAAAAGTGGATCATTTCAGCCCAAGAGATCTAGGTTGGAAGTGCCACTCCACTCCAGCCTGGGCAACAGACACCCGATCTTAAGAAAAACAAAAACAAAAACAACATCTTTTATCATCTAAGTCTGATCATAAACATGTTCTGCAAACGTATTACCAAGATCAGCATCAACTTCAACGTTGCTTTTCTCAAACAGTAACCCACTACAAGGATGCACTTTCTTATCTTTCTGACAACAGAAAGCGCTTCCCTGTAGACGGTCACAGCCTGAGATCTTCCTCCAGTATGTTGAATTTTTTTTTTTTTTTGGAATCTTTCTTGACTACGTTAAAATGAACACAAAAAAGCCAGGCGCGGTGGCTCACGCCTGTAATCCCAGCACTTTGAGAGGCCGAGGTGGGCGGATCACAAGGTCAAGAGATCAAGACCATCCTGGCCAACATGGTGAAACTCCTCTACTAAAAAAGTACAAAAATTAGCTGGGTGTGGTGGTGTGTGTCTGTAGTCCCAGCTACTCAGGAGGCCGAGACAGGAGAATTGCTTGAACCCAGGAGGCGGAGATTGTGGTGAGCCAAGATTGCGCCACTGCACTCCAGCCTGGCACCTGGCGACAGAACAAGACTGTGTCTCAAAAAACAAATGAACACAAAAAACAAAGATGTATTTACTCGCCCTGTTTTCGTGTTTTCTGGAATCCAGAACATAAACCCCTAAAAGGACCATCTCCAATTTCTTACTTCAAAGGCTCAGTAGGTTAGCCTTCATCGTGAAGGAGCAATCCTCCTGACTTTTGTCCTCAAAGAGAAAATGCAATGCCCACTAGACATACTTTATCTTTAACCAAAAGAATTGGGCTGGATTTCTAGAGATCAGCAATGGATATTGAGCCAAGTGTTCGCTTGAGTTCCAGCACAGAAACACATAGTCCCCATGGGGGTATCCAAAATGGAATCTAAGATGTTGAAGAATATACATTGTCAGAGGCACAAACATCCTCCAGGATAGAGGCCAGGCTATGCAGCAAAAGCTCCTCAATAAAATTTGAGCAGAAACACACAAGAACTGGTTGGGCACAGTGGCTCACACCTCTCATCCCAGCACTTTAGGAGGCCGAGGTGGGAGGATCACTTCAACTCAGGGGTTCGAGACCAGGCCCGGCAACATGGTGAACCCACATCTATACAAAACATACAAAAGTTCGCCAGGTGGTGGTGCATACCTGCAGACAGTTATTCAGGAGGCTGAGGTGGGAAGTAAAGATTGCAATTGAGCCGAGATAGCACCGCTGCACTCCGGCCTGGACAAAACAGTGAGATTCTGCTTCAAAAATAAATAAACAATAAAAATACAAAAATTACCTGGGTGTGGTGGCACATGCCTGTTATCTTAGTTGCTCAGGAGGCCGAGGCAGGAAAATTGCTTGAACCCAGGAGGCATACGTTGCAGTGAGTGGAGTTCCTGACACTGCACTGTGTCACCAGGGTCACTGGGTGAGACTCTGTCCCAAAAAAGAGGACCACTTGAGCCCAATAGATCCAGGTTGGAAGTGCCATGGCACTCCAGCCTGGGCACCACACACCCTGTCGTACGAAAA